CCCACAAGCAACTGGACTGAGATTCTGTTGACAACAGCAAATCCGACCATAGATGCACGCAGAGAAGGGGCCAGGTGTTGCTGAACCCTGTGTTTACCTCTGTAAACACATAGCTTGGGGGGGCAGGGTTGTCCCCTTCCAGCTGTGGCTAGGTTGGATGACTCAGGGACCAGATACAAATCTCTCATCGTGAGCGGTGATGTGGTCCTCTTCTCCTTTGCAGGTGCAGCTGGGGGGGGGGTACCACCTTCCCCACACCTGCTTTCCATCATCATTTAACACAAACTTAAGTCGCCTCTCAACCTACTGGCAACATACCTGCAGGGGACCCTGACCCAGCAGTTGGCTCAAACATCTCCTGGAGAAATCGAAGGAGCCTGGAGGAGGGGAGGAAGGATGGACACAGGCAGGTGCTTCGGGCCCAGGGGCAGGGTTGCCTCTGCCTGGCTCTGAGCTCAGACTTACTAGAGAAGAAAAGAGCTCATTGTACTTCATTTTAGAGAAACAAGGTTATTGTACTTCTCGGCAGCACACCAAAGCACTCTCAGATTTCCTCCAAAAGTGAACTAAGGTAATTAAGGCTCTTAAGTAAACTACGTGTTAACCAACAGATTCTCCAGTTGAAGTTTTAAGAACAGCATTGGGACAGTGGGGCCAGTGGTTCATGCCTGTAATCTTAGCTACTCAGGAGGCTGACTCTGAGGATCTCAGTTCAAAGCCATCCCCAGCAGGAAAGTCCATGAGACTCTTATCTCCAGTAAACCACTAGAAAACCAGAAGTAGTTCTGTGGCTCAAGTGGTAGAGTGCTAGCAAGCTGGAGAGCTGAGGGACAGCGCCCAAGCCCAGAGTTCAAGCCCCACCACCGACAAAAAAAAAAAAAGAACAGCATTGGGTATGTGTGCCCTTGGCACCTGCAAAGAATTATTTTCCAAATGATACACACCAGTGAGCTTTGAATAGCCTAGTTGGCAAGAACCCCATCCCCTGAGTATCAATCACAGCTTAAATAAATAATGAACCAGGTTCGTGTGGTTTTTATTGGCTGTTTGGGGAGAAAAAGTCAACATGACTCTCCTCAAGCCATCACAAGTAGTCTGTGCCCTGGACACGTCTCCTCTCCTCTCCTCCCACATTGAACAGAGACTCTTGTTCAGGATGACTGATAGCCAGTCTCAGCTGAGCTCCTTCTGGATTGGTTGCTCATGAAAGATGCTGTGGGGGAGGGGGGCCCACGGCCAGGGGTCTGAGCTGAGCCCACCATGCCCAGAACCACACTGGAGAGATGGGCCATCTTACCACGCCACCTTGGTTCTGGCTAGAAGGGGGACAAAACATTCCCTGAGATTCCCAATAACAGATGTGGCCTCTTGGGGTTCGGGGCCTGATTGCAAACCACCCTTAAGGCCCCCAGGCGATCTTTGAGAATTTGGTTTGAAGTCGATTCTCACAGAGAAGCCAGCCAGCGGCAAACCAGGGCTCTGCGGCTCACCTCTGCCTTCCACCGACTGACCACGAACCTAAACAGCCAGTCTCCACACTCACAGGGCAGGTGGAGACGCACCCGCAGACACAAGCAGCAGAATCGGAGATACTACAACAACCGGACACCGGCTGTCACCTGTGCGAGTGTCAAACACAGGCTGTGGGCTGTGGGAAGGAGAGGTGCAGCCCGGGAAAGGCCAGCGGATGGGTGTAACATGCATCTGAATGAAATTCCAGAAGGGAAGACTTAAGAGAATGGGCCTGACATGCTACTTTTCAGAATTTTCCAGAACTGATGCAAGACACAAATTCTCAGAGTCGGGAGGTATAGCATTCATACAATCCCCTCCACACTCTATCGGGTCGTGAAGGCATGCCCCCTCGACACACACACACACACACACACACACACACACACACACACACACACACACACACACACACACCCTCATCTACCCTTACTCCCAGCCCCACACCCCCAACTACCCACTGCCAAAGGGAAGATGCCCTGACAGGCCCAGCCAGGAAACTGGAGCCGGCTCTGAGGTAGCCACAGCCCCGCAGGCCAATCCGAGGCAAGCCGCAGGACCAGAGCCGTCCCCAGAGCCACAGCCCCAGGTGATCAGCCATGAAGAAGGAGTTGCAAGCAGATGTACTTTCCATACCCGTCATCTCAGCCACTGGGAAGCCGAGGAAGGAAGACAGAGAGTTCAAGGCCAGCTTGGACTACATTGCAAGACCCTGTCTCAAAACAAACAAGCAAACAAAGAGCACAAAATAAAAGCCATTGCTTTCAAAACCCGAGTTTGCTACAAACAAATCTTTCTTCAAGGACCCTTTCTTAGAGGAACTTCTTGGAAAGTTCTACTTCTGGAAGTAGCATAGTGGGGGGGGGGGGGGATGTAATGTGTAGGAAGGAAGAGTGTGTGGAGACAGCATTCTGCCTGAGGGTGCATGCAAACCAACCCAGTCTTCTCCCTGCAAGCCCATCTTCTCCTTCTCCCATGAGAAGCGTGCATTCATTTACAGGAGCCCAGAGTTTCTTGAGTTTTCTAGAATTACCTTTGCAGAGGTCTAACAGCCACCAATTGGAGCAGAAGGCGTCTGTCTAGGTAGGCGAGAGAAGGGGGCCGGCGCGGAGGTGCCTCCCTGAGCCGATTCACAGCAGAGGGCCTGGGGCTGCTGCTGGTCCTCTGACCCTGAGCAGGGCCTGGCACAGGGGTGGTGTCTCTCAGCAGGAGGTGGGTGGCACTGGCCGCCCTGGAGCTCTGCACGCTGTCTGTGGCCCAGGCTGCCTGGTCATACTTCCTCTTGGGGTGACCCTTCAGTCAGGAGGAGGGTCAGATCTAGCTGGCCAGGCAGCCCTGTCCACCGGGATTTGGTAACGTCTATCTCGGGATACACTGGCTGCCACCCTTCTCTGTTATACCTCACTCCAGGTCCCAAGAGCTGACAGCAGGTTTCATTGAAGTTAGAATGGAGAACTCTCTCTGTGGTAAAGTCCCTACACCCTTCCGCACAGAGAGGGAGACAATGAGGAAACTTCATTTTCTCAGCCGGAAGGCAAAAGGCCTCGGGTTGGTCCTGAAAAATCAGTCCTTCCAGGAGGATCTCTTGGAGAAACTAATCATCTAAGCAGCCTATAGCTAAGGGAAAGCACTTCTTCATGTCACAAATTCAACAAACCTAGCCCATTACCTACATTCTCAAGAGACCAAATAGCTAGAAGGACACCTAAGCTCAGCTATGCTTTCTCCAACCAACGAGTCATGCATCTCTGAAAGGGAAGCAAAACTCACTGTGGTCGGATCCCAACCCTGAGGACGGAGCACGCTAACTTCCTTTTTCTCACACCTGTAAACCTGGCCTGTGGCATAGACGTTGAAATTCAGCAGCCATGAGCTAAGCCATGCAAATGATTTAGTCAATAGAGGAGGCTTCTCTTCCTAGTCATCTGAAAGGACTTGGCTTGGAAGGCACCAGGCATTTCTCCCAGCAAGGACTGTGAAGTATATTCCCAGGGGTTTTAGTTTACATCCCCAGAGAGAAGAGATCCCACATGATATGCCAGGAAACCCTCATGTTTTATTACCAAGTTGTAAAGTACAGCATCCCCAGAAGACTGAGAGTTCCCTGGGAAAACACCCCCCCACACACACTCCACAAAGCACAAAGGCCCAGGGAAGGGAGGTAGTTCTGCCCAGCTGACTTCCTGCTCCTCCTCTAGGCTGAGCCCCCTTTAAGGACTGGTGATGCATCAGGTGGGCTCTCCACACGTCTATTGACGTGCTGTCAGCACAGCTTCTTCATATTTTGTCAGACCTTCTCACCTCCTCTAACAACATCTACTGTTTCGATGGTTCCCTGTCTCTAGGATGATGGGGTGTAAAGTGGACTGCGTAACTAAGTTCCTACAGATGTCTGTCCAAGTCTAGGGCAGTGTCAGGTAGGGACATGGGGTACTGTGGTGATCGGTGATTGTAAGCGTGTGTCCAGCGGGACTCTGGGGGTGTGTCATGAGCAGCTGACAAAAGGAGGCCCTGTGGGTCCCCCTATAGAATGGGCCTAGCTGAGAATCAGAAATACATTGGGTGACACCAGAAATCAGGTGATCACCTCACATCTGGTGTTGTTAGAGACAGAAGCCCACTCAACTTCAGATAAACTTCTGAGGACAGAGTTCAGGGGGAACCGGAGTGTCCCTCAGAATCTAAGGAAGTGAAGGCAGCCACCGGTCCTGTCCCAAGGGGGGCCAAGAGTGGAGAAGGTCCAGCCCTGGGGTGCTGGCCTGGGGGGGGGTCTCGCTCACCTCTGCCTCCCTCTGGTCTTCTGCCACCATCTGTGGACCAGATTTTTCTTCTTTGGGGAAAGCACCAGTGGCCCAAGTGCCCTATAAATATGTTCACGTGTCTCCAATTAAAATCAAATTCCATATTGTGTCATCTTCAATATTTCAGCGTTTGAAAAGAATTGCTTGTACGCCGTGTCCCTACTTCCTCCCAAATCTAGCGCAGACCTCTCTCCGAAGAATCCACCCTGCGTGTCTCCTTCCCCGGTACCCCTCCAGTCGTGGACCCAGCCAGCTGCCTTCCCCTTAAACTCCACCGCTCCTTCTAAGTTACCGCTTCTTAGTTGTGAAGCACCACCTATGCAGCTGCCGGTCCAGAGCCCTGAGCCAGTCCTTCTGAATCTTTCACGTTCAATAGCCTCTCAGCCTCCGTCCCTGCTGCCCACCAAACCCACCTCGAGATGGCCCACACTCTCCACACCACGGACCTCCCCTGCCACAGGGCACCCCACCAGGCAAGGAAGCTTCCGGAGCAGCAAAGCTGCTGGCGTGATGTTGATCACACACCTGGGGGGAGGGGTCTGTGGTCCGCACCGCGCGGGCCGAAGTGCTCTGGATACCACTTCATCACCACATTAAGTGTGTGCCGTTCTGCAAGGGACCTGCCTTCCCCTCTGACCTACGCTGGGGCCCGATGCTCCACAATCATTCTTCTCTACTCGCTCTCAGCTGGTGAAGATGCTGCCTGCCGCAACATCCAACCTGCTCGCCACAAGGACAGTCTCTCGGGGTCTGAGGTTCTCCAGTGCTCCGGCCGCCCCTCCCTCATCTACATCAACAACCTGCACTGGGTCCCTCACTTCCAGGCAGCACGTCGCCACACAGGTTCAGTAAAGCACCTGTTACACCAAACCATGACTGACTCATGTCTCTGTCCAATAATAGATTTTATTTTGTACTGGGTGACTGGGGCTTGAACTCAGGGACTGGGCATGATTCTTTAGCCTTTTCCCTCAAGGCTAGCATTCTACCACTTGAACCACACTTGTACTTACAGCTTTCTGGTGGTTAAGAATCTTAGTGAGGGGGCTTGGAAGGTGGCTCAGTGGTAGAGCGCTTGCCTTGCATGCATGAGGCCCTGGGTTCAATTCCTCAGCACCATATAAGAAAAAAGAAAAAAGCCGGAAGTGGCGCTGTAGCACAAGTGGTAGAGCACTAGCCTTGAGCTGAAGAGATGAGGGACAGCGCCCAGGCCAAGAGTTCAGGCCCCACCACCGAACCCCCCCCCACACACACCAAAAAAAAAAGAATCTTATCTAATCTCCTGCCTGAGCTGGCTTCGAACCATGATCCTCAGATTGATCCCAGCCTCTCAAGTAGCTAAGGATTACAGGCATGAGCTGCTGGCACCTGGCCTAATCATAGATTTGGATCCCAGGGGAGTAAGAACTGTGCATGGTGGCTCACACCTGTCCTGTCATTCCAGTGCTTGGGAGGCTGAGGCAGGAGATCATGAGTTCGAAGCCAGCCAGGGCACAGAGGAAAGACCCTATCTCAAAAACAGCAAAAGACACAAAGGAAAAGAAAAAAAATTGCATTCTCATAACTTCAATACTCATTGCACATATTAGATACTGCACAAATCATTACTAATACAGAGCTGAGTGTCCCCAAAGGTAAACATGCACACATGCACATACATGCATGCGCACACATGCACAAACACACACACACACACACAATTCTGTCTCTGCATGGGGCTCTAGGTCAGTAAACTACTAAAAAGCCAGGATTCCAGGCATGAGCACAGTACCTGACCAGAAGCACTATTCCTAGACCTCCATTCGAGGGACTCCAGCCTGTCTGACTGGGGAGAGATGCCAGAGAAGTTAGTAGCCTTCCTCATCCGCTCATCGCACACCCCAACACCTCAGCCAGGAAGGCCTGGTACCAATTTTCAGCTGAAATCAGACCAGAGGCAGCTGAATCCCTGTGGCCAGCTTCTCAGGGAGCCCCGAGCTTTGGGCTGTTTCCATACAGCCTCATATCAAATCCTCCTCGCACCAGCCAACTGTGGGAAGGCCAAACTGGAGCTGCCTTCTTCATTTCGAGCACACTGCCAAGCTTTGTCTACAAATCTTTAGCCATAACACAATGAACAACAACTCTGGTATTGCTGGCCCAACTCCAAAAGTATTACATCATTCCACCCCCCAAGTCCCCCGCTGAGGCTGACTCTCCTACCAGCCCCTTCAAGAGATGAGAACACGCGGGATGTAGATTACAGGAACGCCCCTCTTCTGGGGAAAGGCCTTTCTAGATCCACACGTGTGTGGAATCTTGGGGAATGGACAACTCTCCCTCTCTGCTGTGCGAATTCCTTGTGTACCGATGATGGGCCGACCCATTGGAGCCCCAGGAGAGGAGCCACGTGGATTAACTTCTCAACACCCCAATCTCCTGTTGGGCACCAGCTGCACACATTTTAGTTGGGGTCCCAGCCCCATCCCAAGAGGCTGCCCATGCTGAGTGAACCCTAAATTCTAAGCATTCTCCCATTATTATAGGAGAATCCTAAGCCAAGCCAGGAGGCATAAAAGGCAAGTCGCAGGAAGGCCTACTGTGTTTGTTTTCTTGTCTTGTTGGTTCCTTTATCTTGTTTGTTCATCTTTGAGAAGGCAAGGGGGGGCACAGAAATGCAGGGACTCAGGGTGAACAAATGTCGCGGTGGTACTCACCGGACATTATGTGAAAAATGAACTACACAACTTGTGGGTGGGGACGGGAGGGAAAAACTGGGAGAGAGCGAGGGGAAGGGTTTGTCCAAAAACAAATGTCCTCCTTACCTGACACATGTGACTGTAATACCTTTAAGGTAACAACAGAAAACGGCAGGACCACAGGGAAGACTTACCCTGTCATTGTGTCCTCGGGGTCCTCTTCAGGAACAAGCGTGTCCGCCCCTTCCAAACCTAGGATACACCTCTAAGATAAACCGCAACCTGCTTCGTCCTCAGAACTTCCCACACCACACAAACCATCTCTACGGAGACAATGGGGACTGTCTCTCCACAAAATCCAAAGGGAAAGGGTCCCAGGACCAATGCCCTAAACACTGGAGAGCACAAGCCAGCCGTGGCCGGAGCTGTCTGTCAAAGACCTGGGCGGCCCCCGCTGGAGGAGAGGGGGGTGCCGGCCGTGGCCGCGGTGCAGAGCCCCGTTGGCGCTCCCCTAACTGCAGGCTTCTCCTGCTGTTCACCGTCCAGAGCCCACGGGGAAAAGAATCTGAGTCCAGACTGTGATGCACAGCCAATGCCTGTGTCCTTCCTCTAAGAGGTTGCTTTGGTTAATTTCACTTCCGTATACCGAGCTATGTTTGTGGAGTCCTTCGTAACTGCTGTACCGAGAGGACATTCCCTTCTAACATCAGCTTAGTGAGGGCAACCAGCCATAGCCACTGCCCGTTGACCGCTTTGTCACATGACCCGGGAAGCAATGAGCGTAGAGGACTTGGGCGTGAAGGAACGTCTTTCCTGAAATCAGGAAAGTGAGTGGCCACTGTGGGGACATTCCCAGGTTGGTGCCTGTATTTGATCCCTAGGGACCAAACTCCAGGGGACTCGTGGGCTTGAGAAGAACAAGGCACCACAGCACAGCGGCGGCCAGAGAGGGCGCGGCCTCCTTCAGACCCGGGCTCAGACCCCTGGTCTTGGTCTCTGCTCTTCTGTGGACAGGAAGAGCCTTGGTACAACTTGCCAGTGCTCAGAGGGAAAGGATGTGGCTCCCAGAGAAGATGGGTGTGTTTGTAAATGAATGTCTGGGTCTCTCGGAATAGATTGCCTGCTGAGTGTGTAACCGTGGATGGCATCAGACAAGTTCTCCTGAGAACCACCCTGGGGGAGGGGGGGGTAAGGAGAGAGACTCGCTGGGGACAGCGGGAGTAGACCCAACTTTAGTTCTAGCAGAGTCAACTCCAGCCTGTCCCCTGTCCTTTAGAGAACAGTTAGCAAGGTAAGGATTCTCCTCAGTCCTTCATCCATCCATTCATCCTTCCATCCAGCCACCCATTCACCTAGCCTTCCATCCTCCACCCACTTATCCACCCATTCAGCCCTCTGCTATCTGTCCATCTGTCTTTATATCCATCCATACCTTCCCTATCCATCCACCATCTATCCACCAGCCTTCCACCCAGCCAACCTTCTACCTTTCATCCACCCATCATCCATCCAACCATCCATCCATCCATTCAGGCTTCCATCCTCCATTCATCTTCTTTGCATCCATATGCCATCCACATATCCCAGCTGGCACCCACTTGCCAGGTGCTCACGATTACCTCTGCCTAAACACAAGCGCAGGCAATCATAAACAAGTCTCCACCATCGTGGAACTTACGCTGTCACACGGAAGACAACTCCAAGCAGGTGACAAAAATATAAAAACATAATTCCAGGTGATCATTATTGTAAGAAAGATAAGTGAGGAAAAGGTAGACGGGGGAGTGGAAGGCCCTTAAACAGCGGAGGATTGTCAGCGATTGTGAGTGACAGTCCTAGATGCGTTCTCTGCTTCCTGTGGGGCGTGTAAGCTGGGCAGGAAGTGTCTTGCTCACACTCTCTTTGTTAATGAGAATAATTCACGAGTGTAGATTACCAAAATGCCTTTCAGCTTTGATGCTGGTTTCTAATCTGACCTGCATCATGGAGCGGCCCTCAGAGTCCTCACCAACGCCGGGTACTGTCCCTCGTTCCCATTATTGGCTTTTTTATAGCTGAAATGCTATCTGGAGCAATCCAAGTTGTTTCCATTGGCTTTTCTGTTGTGACTCCTCATTCACATCCTCTGTGTCTTCTTCCACCCGAGCCTCCCTGAATGGGATGCTGCGAGTACAGCCCGGCAGGAGTGAGGGATGAAGTCTCCATCTCCTCATCTGGTGGGCGGGGTAGCTCTGTGGTCCCCAGGGTCCTCAACAGGAACAAGGCCCAGCTGGCTCAAGTTCTCTGCCTCAGAGTTTCCTTTCCTCTTACAGTGTTTCCAGCAGTGAGGTGCTTTTCCAAGCTCACGGATTTGTAAGAGCTTGCCTCTTGTCAGGTGTGTCTCTTGAGGTAAGTCTTGGCTTTGCTTCAGGCTATCTGACTTGAAGAAAGTCACATAAGCTGGGCTTTGGTGGTTCACACCTTTCATCCTAGCTACTCAGGAGGCTGAGATCTGAGGATCCTGGTTCAAAGCCAGCCCGGGCACGAAAGTCCGTGAGACTCTTATCTCCAATAAACCACTCAGAAAACCAGAAGTGGTTCTGTGGCTCAAGTGGTAGAGCGCTCGCCTTGAGCTGAAGAGGTGAGGGACAGCGCCCAGGCCCAGAGTTCAAGCCCCACGACTGACAAAAAAAAAAAAAAGTCACATGACCTTTACTCGCATATTTATATGATAACAGTAATTGTCTGAGTGGCATATGGACTAGATGAGATAGATACAAAACGTGTTTTCTAAATGATAAAATGCTACCTGTTGCCATTTGATATTTTCCTCCTCAAAGAGCCCTGGGTGCCCTGTCAGGAAAACTCCATCTTGCCCATGTTCTGGAGGGGCAGGCGCCAGGGAGGGCAGAGATGAGCGCCTTCCATCCAACCCAGCGAGGTAGAGTCCTGCCCTGATTACATCCAGGCGGCGCCTCGGTCCGGGCTGTTTCTGCAGGTCTCATTGGGTAGGGCTGGACCATGGGCTTGCATGAGCAAACTCCGGCCCTTCTTTTTCAAAGAAGACACGATTTAAAGCCAAAGGCTGCGCGAACACCTGCAGATTCCCCCACCTGCTAGGGTCACACACACTCCAGGAGCCTCCGGCCTCCCTCTCCCTCCACAGACCATTTGTACTTGTTGAAATTATCCACAGCACAGAAAGGAACCTTACTTCATTGTTGGTGGGAATGTAAACTTGTTCAACCACTTTGGAAAGCAGTATGGAGGTTCCTCAAAAGACTCCACATAGAGCTCCCCAATGACCCAGCAATCCCACTTTTGGGCATTTACCCAAATGATCACAAACAAGGCCACACTAAAGCGACCAGCACAACTATGTTTATTGCAGCATTATTTACCATAGCTAAGATATGGAACCAACCCAGATGCCCCTCAGTAGATGAATGGATCAAGAAGATGTGGTATATATACACATTGGAATTCTATGCCTCCATCAGAAAGAATGACATTTCCCCATTTGTTAGGAAATGGAAAGGCTTGGAAAAAATTATATTAAGTGAAGTAAGCCAGGCCCAAAGAAACATAGGTCCCATGTTTTCCCTTATTTGCAATATCTAGTATAGGTATGAGTCAAGCGGAAAAAGTCAGAGAATGTGATGTTAGGAAAACAAACCCTCAAATATGTATTTTAATGTTTTTGTTTCTTTCATGCATGTGTTTCTAACGCATTTATAAGATTATTTCTTGGTTGCTTTGTATGTCCCTCCCCCACAGTATAACCCCTGCTTTCACTATATTTGATGTCAGTATAACATGTGGAGGAGACGGGGACAAACAAGTCGTTTAAGGATTCAGGTGGACCTGTTGCAACAATGAGAAGTACAAAATGTCATGTCAAAACCAGCTTTACAATGTCGGTGGGGGGGGGAGGGGGGGTATGATTGGGTGGGGGGGAGGGGGGAGGCTGGGAAGGGAGGTGAAGGGTAAACAAAGGAGGAGGCTGCAATGCTTGGTAAGAAATGTACGCATTATCCTGCCCATGTAATTGTAACCCCTCTGTACAGTATGTTCTCAAATAAAATAAAATTAAATTAAAAAAAAAAAAAAAGAAATTATCCACAGCCAGAGGCTCCGTCTGCCGTATTGCTCGCTGTCTTCCACTTCCTCTGCCTTCCTTGTGCCCTAGTCCCCCCTCTTGGGGAAACACGCCAGGTCCCGAGTGCACAGGTGGCATGTGAAGGACACCCCAGCTCAGGAGGAGTACGGTCAGTGACCCGCGAGGCTCTGTCTGATTTCTTGGACCCAATAAAAAGCACAGAACTCCAGACACAGGCCCTTTGTCACTCTCAGCTTTCGGATAAGATTAAAGTTGTACCTTCCAATTTAGTAAAAAGAATGGTTCTATTTGCTCAAATCCTGGCTGTCAGCTCTATTTTTTCTGGTTTCATAAAAAAATATTATTTAGTAAGGGCCGTGAATCTTGATCCCATTTCAGTAAACTCAATGCTTCTTTAGAAATTCAATGAAGTGAATGATTTCTTCTGCTAAGCTGAAGAAAGACGGGCCGGCTGGGGGGGAACAGCACCCAGCCTGGGCCAGAAAAGCCGAGCATCAAGATTGAGTGGGCCCGCACAGGCCCTAGGGGGCACTCGTGAGCATGCTACACACACATAACATGAATCAATGCCAAGCACATTTATTACAATCCTGAGACAAGCAGACACCCAGTTCTCAGACCTACCTAATCCTGTATGGGACAATCCCTGGTCTCCCCCCCCTCTCTCTCACACACACACACACACACACACACACACACACGCACGCACACACACGCACGCACACACACACACACCCCCACACACACGCACACACACACACACACACACGCACACACACACACACGCACGCACACACACACACACACGCACGCACACACACACGCACACACACACACACACACACACACACACACACGCACCCAGAACAAATTAACTTGTTAATTAAGAGAGTGAGGGAAATGGTGACGTTGTCCAAAAGAAGTATACTTACCTAAAATACACGGGACATGATCATTTACAAGGGACTGCAGGCACTGACCCACAGTGAGACCAAAGGAGGACGCTCTTGGGGAGGAGCACAGAGGTGAGATGTCTATGTACCTCTGATCATAGGAAATCATAGTGATCGAAATGAACTCCAGGAAACAGAAACAAGAGGGTTTTTTTCCCTCTGTTGCTATTTTTGTTTTCTTTTCTTTTCGTCTTGCTCGTTCATTCCTTTGTCTTTGGCAGAAGGAGGACACAGAAATGGAGGAACAAAGGGTGAACAAATGCAGCAGTGGCACTCACTAGACACCGTGTTGAAAATGAGCTATACAACTTATGGGTGGGAATGAGAGGGGAAACTGAGAGAGAGTAAAGGAAGGGATGACATTGTCCAAAAGAAATGTAACCGTAACCCCTCTATACATCATAACAATTAAAAAATTAAATTCAAAAGTGTGCTCATTACCTGACTTATGAAACTGTAAACCCCTCTGTACAATACCATTATAATAACAATTAGAAATTAAGATTTTTTAAAAGAAAGAATATAATCCAAGCTGGGCTCCATTCCTGTTTTCTTAGCTACTTGGAAGGCAGAAATCAAGGAACCACAGTTCAGAGCCAAACTAGACATAAAAGCTTATGAAACTCCACAGCCATAAATGGCTGGGCATAGTGGGGCACACCTGTCATCTCCCCTCTCAACATAGGGAAGCAGAAATAGGAGGATCACAGCCCCGCCAGCCCAGGGATACAATAAGAGCCTACATGAAGATAACCAATTCCAAAAAGACCTAGCGGTGTGGTTTGAGAGGTAGAGGGCCTGCCTAGCAAATGTAAGACCCTGAGTTCAATCCCCAACTACCACCAGACAGATAGATAGAGAGGTAGGTAGGTAGATAGATAGATAGATAGATAGATAGATAGATAGATAGATAGATAGATAGATAGATAGACAGACAGACAGAAGACAGACAGACAGACAGAGAGTAATTCTAATGGAAATACTGCAGATTCTGTACTTCCTCCAATGGCCTGCCTTACTCAGAAGTTGCTAAGTGGAGACAAGCTAGAGACAATCCACTGGACCCACCTGGCAGGGGCCCTGTGGAAGCCACAGAACACACCTGGGGCCTGGAGGCAGGCTCTGGCTTGTCTCCAGGTTTCCCAGGGCTGTAAAGCCAGGAAACAGCTCATTGTGCTGAGCTGAGCTGAGCTGATTTTCCCCCTGTCATTGACAACCTAAAGAAATAAACAAGGGTTCTGGAGTTCAGGTGAGGAGCTGGTTGCCAGCAGGGACTGGTAGGAAGGGCTCTGGGAAAACAAAGTTGGATTCCTGGACTTTGACTGACAGGAAGGAATGGGGCCGGGGGAGTGGTCAGGGCTCTGCTCACATCTGCAAAGCAGAGAGGAATGGCGGGAGATGCTCTGTGGTGTTGTAGTTTTAGGTACAAGGTCTAAGCTTGGCAAAGGACAACGGGGCCTGGCACTTAAACTCAGGGCTGGGTGCTGTCCCTAAGCTTTTGTACTCAAGGCTAACACTCCCCAACTTGAGCCAGAGCTCCACTTCCAGCTTTATTTATTTATTTAGATAGTTAATTGGAGAGAATTGTCTCACGGGCCTTCCTGCCTGGGCTGGCTTCAAGCCCTGATCTTCAGATCTCAGCCTCCTGAGTAAATGGATGACAGGCCGTGAGGCACTGGCGCCCGGCTGAGATGCTGTCCCTGGGAAAAGGCAGCTGCAGAGTCAGGAGGGAAGCTGTGGAGCTCTGTTGCACACTGTGGTTAATCTTTCAAAGATAAGAATGAGCCCTGGTCAGATAAAGAGGTGGGGATTCCAAGAACCCCGCATGACTAGAATTGATGGTACTAGTGCAGTCTAAGCTCCGTGTCAAAACCCCTAACCAGGGCAGTGAGTGAGGCTGCCCTGGGAGCTGGGGCCTGGCTGACGGTGGTTATGGAAAGCAGGCCCGGCGTGTTTACATTTCAGCTGAGGTCTCTTCCCTCAGCCTGCAGACTGAAGAGCTGCCCCCACGCCCCTTAGCTCCCTCCCAGTGCACGCCAGGTCAGTGTGTGGCCAATAATTCCTTCACCAGAAAATCAATGCCCCCCACTAGTGCATGTGCTGCACTAACCTCTTCCCACTCCAACGAGCAGGAGGCCTGGAGTTTCATGCCATAAACAAGCAAACAAAGAAGGCAGAGCAATCCCACATTGGTGACGTTTTCCAAGACTGTCTGCGAGCACTTAGTGCATGCTAACTCCATGGGACAGGTGAAATCGGTGCGTGGGGACCCTTGGCAGCAGGCCCTGCCCCGCACCCTGGGACCACCCTCGGGGCACCTGATGGATGCACACCCAAACCTGAATGCACCCGAAATGATGAAGGTCTGAACACCACTGCTGGAAAAGTCCTGAGCAGATGAGGAACTCAGATAAAACACAAGAGAACTGAGGAGATCGGGAAGCCCTGGAAGCACAGGAGAGGAGGGAGTTGGAAAAGCCACGGGCTCAGAGGGATGGAGGAGGGGTGTGCAGTGGGAGGTCTCTGATGCCGAACGTTTTGATGCATGGGTATATCTGTGCACACACTTGTACACGCACATATGCAGGTGTGGTTGCACACAAATGCACACGCACATGCACATGCGCTCTAGTTCTCTGCATTGGCTTTTTGCACATGGGACTTTCTACAAGGTGCAAACCTACTGTCAAGCTGAATCTCCACTCACTTTTAGGAGAATCCTATCTGTGAGTGGTTTGTTTATTTACTTATAGACAAATGTTTATCTTAAAAGTCTCGATTTAGCCAAGCACTGGTGGCTCATACCTGTCATCCTAAGCCACTCAGCAGGCTGAGATCAGAGGATCACAGTTCAACTACTTGCGATTCTCATCTTCCACTAACTACCATAAATCTAGACGTGGAGCTGTGGCTCAGGTGACAGAGCACCAGCTTTGAGCATATCGGTTTCTTACTAGCTGCCTATCCGGTTGTTTTAAAACCCAAGTTCTAGTTCTGTTATGTCTGGGAGTGTTCTGTGATAACTTAGTAAAGGAGGAGTTTGTTTTCTCTGCAGTCCAACTGGGCCTTGCAGGTGGCTAGGCCGTGGGCAGCTCCGTCCCCTCCACGTGGCATGTCACTTTTGTTTTGTGAACAGTACAGCTGTTCTCTGCAATTAGATTTCTACCCTTTGGTACCCGGGACTATTGTTTTCTTATAAGCATTGTGAAAATGGAATAGAAAAGGAGGGGATATGAGGGACAAATGAAAAACCCAAACAAAACAAAACCAACTGGACAGGCATGTGTTATTTACGCCCATATTTATCAAAATCCGGGAGGGAGTTCCTGGGGAGGGGGCTTGAGACTGGATTTATGAATGGCCTGTGGAAGTTGAGTTCCTTTGAGAAAATGGCAGGTGTTAAAACAATGAGAAGTGACCTTCTTTGCATCTGGGTTCCAAAGGCTGCCTCAATGTTTGTGAAAAAACAGGATTATAACAAAAAACAACATCCTGCCACAGGCAAGTTCCTGGTCATTTTTTCTCACCGTGGGAGGGTTTATTTATAGATAACAGAGGCAGCTTATAAGAAACACACACACACACACACACACACACACCCCTAACCATCATTTTTCCCAGGGGAAGTGATCTTTATTTGATGCAAAATAGCTTTCTTTCGTTTTTCTGCTCTATTCTTTTGGGGAGTCCATTCAGAATGACACACTCTGATTGCTCACATCCCTTTCAGTTAAATAACATCCTTCCAACCAGATCTACCAAATCAGACTCACTTCCGGTATAAACTATGCTTTGCCATGTTATTGTAGCAATTGGAGAGAGGTCAAAGTGGACAGCTGAAACCCTGGCCATGCGGAATGCATCCTCAGCACTGCTGTGCCCTCGATGACCCCGATGGCCCCTGCTCTCTGACCCCTGGGCCACATCTCCAAATTCCTGCAACCCCCAAATCAAGAATACTGCTCACAGTAATGTTGATTTTAAGAAGAGTCCCTAGGATTCCCAGTCCACACAGCAGGACTTCCGGTCTGCTGGGTGCCTGGCACTTCATGTTTGTTTTTCGCTGCATCTTTATTCCTCCGGGGTGAGCAGAAGGTGCCCATTGTCAGCTGCCACTCACAAAGACCTTGGGGGGTCCTCGAGAAGAGTTAAAACCGTGAATGTGGGTCAGATCTGGCGATCTTGGTCACAGTCCCGCCAAGGTGAACCTCGATGATTAGAAAATCAGTGAAACTCACACCTCACTGGGCTCCAGCCATGCATGCGACGCATTGAGCCTGGGACCTGGCCGCCTGCACCTGTGCAGACACGATAACATCAGACCCAAGGGAAGTGACACGTTTCAGGGGCAGCTTATCAGCTGGCATTTTGAAACACTCCCCTCAGGTCGAATGAGATTTCGTACTTCGAAACACAGGACATGTTTCTTACATCCAAGTTTAGAAGAGACGCCTTCCATTCCACGTGAACCTTCCACCTCTCCACTTTTATCCAGCCTGGTGCTGGGCTCTTTCTGTGGGACCAGCAGAGCAGCGAGCCAGACTGAATCAAAGTCGGCCGGAGGCCTCGCTTTCTTTGTGCTGGACTTGAAGCGCCCATCAAATGGGCGGCAGAGCCCCGCTGCCACTGTTCTCCAACTCCACTGTGCAGACCGGCGACAGGCGAAGTAAACTCAGGACGGACGCCACTCCTTCCCTGGATTGCAGGGGCACGCAGGAAGCGGCGCTGCATTCAGACAAGGTCTTCACCGCTGTTCCTAGATACAACACTGCCACACACGTCCGCTGCGCCATGCTGCTACCCAGCTTCCCAGCACGCAGCAGCCTAAACGCCGCTCCAGGGTGCCTCACATGCCCTGGGTGGCACAGGGACCTCCCTGCTCCCATCAGGGGCGCTGCTGGAGTTGAATGAAGACCACAGAAGGATGGGGGATGGTTAGCCCGAATTGCCACAATCTCACCTCTACAGTAATTAAACAACCTGCGTTACTTTCAAGCGAACTTGACATATAACCGGCCTGATTACTACGCATCTTGTTTTCAAATGCCGAGAAAGAGAGGAGAGTGTCGCTGATGCGCAGGCTCCCACGTTGTCCTTTGTCTGACCATTCTGTGGTTCCCTTCCCTCCCCTAGTTCAGGTAAACGTATATTCAATACCCAGGGTGCCAAAGTCGAACACAGTGCCAACAGGGGATAAGCCATCGGAGGAAAAAACACAAAAGAAAGAAGAAATCACATAGTGCATTGAGAACAATACTCACAAGACAATATGTTGGAAATGATCTATACAACATTGGGGGAGGGGTGGTATTGGGGAGGGGGAGGAAAAGGGAGGAAAATGAGGGAGGGGGTGAAAAGTTAGACAAGAAATGTAACCACTCCCTTACGTGTGTAACTGTAACCCTTCTGCACATCACCCTGACGATAAAATTAAAATTAAAAAAGCGAGAGTAGAGTGTCGCAGGGGAAGAGCAGCATTCTGCGCTCTGCGGACTCCGCAAGGCCCACACGCCAGGGCCGTGAGGAAAGCTGCACGTGGACAAAGGAAGGAAGGGGCGCAAGGGGACAGTGGATGGCTTCCCGCTGTCTGTGAAGGGACGTGATGTGTGGCCCGGGCGGCACCTAGCCGGGCGGTTACAGAAAACCTGCTGGCACTTACCAAAAATGCATCCTGCTGCTTGTGCTGACTGCTTCCTTTAAGGCCGAATCATGGCCCCGAAATTCAGGAAGGGGCTCTGTGTGCTGCGAGAACACCGGAAGCGTGTTGAGACTTCTGGAAAAGAAGGGTGGGGAGCACAGGGTGCTTCCAGACCCCTGTTTGAAAATCCAGCGCGGGAAGCTAAGGAGGTCACTCCGACTCCTTCCTTCCCACTGACCCTAAAAATACGGTGAGGAATTGCCCGACAACGGCCTGCCGTATTCCCGTCAGCTTTCTGGGCTGATCTGCTGCGTTCTTGTCGTTGCTAAGCTTCGTTGAGCAGCTGTATTTTATTCCTTGCTGCAGTTCCTCAATCCTTCATTACACACACACACACACACACACACACACAGAGTTATATTTCATCTGTTTTGTAAGAGGAGAAGAGAGAAAGAAAAGGAGGAAGACGGAAGATAAAAAGGAAAAGGAGGGGCTGGGAAGGTGGCTCAGTGGTAGAGCGCTTGCCTTGCATGCCTGAGGCCCTGGGTTCGATTCCTCAGCACCACATAAGCAAAAAGAAAAAAGCCAGAAGTGGCGCTGTGGGCTCAAGTGGTAGAGCACTAGCCTTGAGCTGAAGAGCTGAGGGACAGCGTCTAGGCCCAGAGTTCAGGCCTCACAACTGGACCCCCCCCCAAAAAAGGGAAAAGACAAGGAGAAGGAGGGATAGGGAAAAGAACCGGAGGAGGAAGAGAAAAAGGAGGAGGAGCCTGAGAAGGGAAAGCATAAGAACTAGACCTCTTGGACAAGAGGCTAAGGCTGAAGGTAGGTCCGCAGCTGTGGAGACCATGGAATTTGTAGGATATAAGCACAGGCAGCTCTGGGATCCAGGGCTGGCTACCCACAGATGAATGAATGATGCTGACAGATGGAGGAAGTGATGGAGAGGCCTTCCGGATGGAGTCTGGATGGAGGTCAGCCCGACAGGACAGAACCCAGGTCTCCCCAGAAGACCAGAAATGGATCTGCGTCCTTTGGTGGCCTCTTTCCTCCCGGGGCCAGCGTGATTGGTCAGCCCACTCCCAAGGCCCGCCCCACAAGCTGCCCAGGGGCTTCCCTGAGCAGCCTTGGTCCAGGTGTTTGTGGGGTTATAGTTTCTGGTAGAGCAGAACCTCTTCCTACTTTGGAATGCTGGTTCCTTCCCTGGCTAGGAAAGTGGGCAGGGACTGTTGGGGAAGGAGGACAAAGGGGCGCCGGCCCCCTGGTGAGGCCCCTTCCATTGGGTAGAGCTGTGTGCACCACCTGGTGGCGGGCAGAGGCCCTGCGGCCTGAGTGGTGCCGGGCCATGTGGGCAGATGGGCAGTTGCCGCTGTTTAAGCACTGTTTCTGACGTCAGGGACACTCAGGTGCGCTTGGCTCAGGTGAACCAGGACTCTGATTTGGCCAGCTTCAGGTACAGCAGAGAACCATCTCAGGCCTCGCTGAATAGGTCAGGTCAGGCCTCCAGCCTGTGACCTTCCTTGGACACCAGACCATCGTGATTACTTCTAGGGCTTTGGAAAAGGAAGCAGCAGTCCCAAGTACTGCCATCTTGGGTTCTGGGAGATGAGCTGGCCGGGACCTTGGTTCTGACACGTGGCTGCACCTGAGCCAGCACTGGTGTCCTTTCTCTGGTGAAGGAGAAATGCAGCCCGAGGACAGCGGGGCAGGGCAGGTTCGCTGCACTCCAGCTGA